CCGCAATGTCCTCATGTATCAAACTGGGTGGGTGAGGGCCGGGGAGGGAGGACCAACACAACAGAAAACGTTCTCGCTCTTAAAGAGTTATTGTGAGGATGAGAGGCAACACGTGTGAACGTGCACACAGTGCCGACCACAGGTCTCCGTACAGGAGAGAGATCACCATTCGTCGTCTGGTGTTATGCTGTGGCGGGTGCTGTGGACCCGGGATGAAGAGCTGTAAGGGGTCAGGCTGCACCCTCCTGCAGCACAGGGACAGATAGGAACAGAAGACAACAGAACAGGCGGAGTAAGCGCTGCAGGGGCGGAACCGGAGAGAGCGGTTCTGCCCGGGTCAGGTGAGGCCTCGCCGAAGAGGACACGTGACCCAAGTGTAGGACCAAGGAGGGGGAGGCATGCACCGGCAGGAGGGGACCGATGCGGCCCGGTGCAGCAGGCAGCAGGACCCAGAGAAAAGAGGAGCAGAAACCCATGAACCACGTGGAACCCTGGGGTGACGGGAGGGGGATGGGCGGGGGCTCCTTGGTGCTCACCTCGGGCACAGGGGCCGCAGGCAGGGAGCACTGCCCACCTTCAGGAAAGACCCCTGGGGCCAGAGTCCTCCCCGCCCTGCCGCCCCCTCCCCAGCACGCAGGTGCCCAGTGTGCCCCCGCCTGGCCCTGTTCCCATAGACGAGGGAGCAGATCCAGGCTTGGCCTCCAGGCCAGCAGCAAACCCATCTGGCCCACGGAAAGCCGTGTCCCAACCTCCCCGCCGGGGCCACCTCCGCCGCAGGATGCTGGGGAAGAGCATGCTGGGAAACTCCTGCAGGAGCCCGCATCGATATAATCAGGTCTGGTGGAAATTAAAAGCTATTAGAAACAGGGCCGGATTTATCTCTATATCCAATAACACGCATCGTAATGGTGAGCGTGCAGATGGGAAATGAAACCCGGCTCGGCTCGCTGCAGGCCTTAATGGTGTGTTCGTGCGCAGCCCGGGCCTGTGACTCCCAGGTCGCCCGCTCCCCAGAGACCAAGTCCCCAGGAGGGACGTAAGGGTAGGATCCGCCTGCACAGGTGGAAGGCTGTGCTCCTGCCCACACGCCTTTAAACAGCCTGAGGGAGGGGAGATGGCCGCTTGGAGGGAAGGAAAGGGGTGCAGGAAGGGGCAGGTAGCTCCAGAAAACAGCACTTTGGGGCTGGCTCTCCAGCCCCACAAACCCCTGGGACAGCACAGCCAGCACACGGCTTAGAGTCAGAGGCCGGCTCCAGGAGCTCACCTGTGTGCCCCCCCACCCCCCGCCCCCGATGTGGGCAGCGGGGAGGCCAGCCTGGGAACAACTTTCCAATGCACAGAGCTCTGTAGCCCCAAGCCTCGAATTCCTGCCAAAGCCCCTTGGAGAAAACCTGAAGGCCGGCTCCTCATTCCCAGGGGCCTGGACCCACCCCTTCCTCCCAGGGCACCCGCTCTCCCAGGCCTGATTGGCCACCTCAGCCCCCGCCCCGCCTCCTGCACTCGAGCACCTGCTCCTGCTGGCCCAGTGCTTGGTGAAGAAGCTGAGCCCAGCCTTGCAGAGCCAATGCCACGCTCCCTGGATGGGATGGAACTCCGGCTCCGGGTCCCTCCTTAACCCCAAGGCAACCTCATCATTACATCTCCCCTCAGCATGGCTGCCTTCCAACCCACCAGCCAACACAATCAAGTGCACACACAGTCCAGTGTGAGCTTGGTTGGCAGAGAATCCCACTTTTATGAAAAAATCCTATAAAGAATGTGTTTTCCAAAACAAAAGCAGGCAACGTGTGGGCCCAGGTTCCGGGCCCTCAGCTACAGAGCCCGGACGGCCCAGCCACGGTCGCTGGCTCTCAGGGAGCCTCCGGGTGGGGGGATTGGATGTGTGTGCTTTGGGGAGTCTGTCCCTGGATCTGAACTGTAGCTGTAAAGAGATCTTGAATGATAATGGAGGGCTGCAGGGCTGAGCAGGGAGGAAACGTCTCCGAGGCGGAAGGAGAGAAGAGAACGGTCCGCAGAACCAAAGCTCCCAGCGGCCTGCAGGAGAGCAGCAAACCCACTGACCATTATGCCCTTTGGGGCCACAGCCCAGTCCCCACATGAAAGACAGCCCGAAGCACCCACTGCAAGGGCCTCACCAAGTAAAGGGCCCCCCAGCTCGCTGCCTCCGGCTCCTGAGGCCAGGAGCCAAGTTCAGCCCTTCTCTGCTCTCTGGGCTGGGCTGTCGCTCCCCCACGCCCTGCGCTCACTGCTGTTGCAGTGCCTCTGTCCACGCTGTTCCCCCATTCCTTCCCCTAACCGTGCAATCGGCCACCCCTGGACGTCAGTGGGCAATGCCCTGGGTGTGCCGGGGGAGGTGTGAGGAGCCAGGGAGTGTGGATGAAAGCAGTCCCGCTCCCCCCTCAGGAAGTTCAGCCTCTCGGGGAACACAGACCCTGTTACGTAATAACACACATGCCCACCAGGAAGCAGCAGCACGGGGGGGCGGGGGGAGACGGGGGGGGGGGCGCTCCCCGCCCACTGGTCAGCACCGGAGCAGGGCCGTCCTCGACGCTTCCCACAGACTCCAAACACTCCATGTAACGCTTCTCCTCCTTAAAGCAGTGAATCCTCCTCCTCATTGCATTACGGTTGGGGAAACTGAGGCTCTGAGGTGGCAAGTGACTTGCCCAGCTGGTAAGCAGTGGGTTTCAAGCCCAGGCAGTTGGGTCCTAAATTCTAGCCCAGTGATGGCGAACCTATGACATGCCTGTCAGAGGTGACAAGCGAACTCATTTTTTTGGTTGGTTTTTCTTTGTTAAATGGCATTTAAATATATAAAAAAATATATAAATCTTTGTTTTACTATGGTTGCAAATATCAAAAAATTTCTATATGTGACACGGCACCAGAGTTAAGTTAGGGTTTTTCAAAATGCTGACACGCCGAGCTCAAAAGGTTCGCCACCACTGTGCTAGATGCTTATTAATCACTGCATTCGACTGGGTTCCAAAAAGCCTTTCCTAAAAGCCAAATGGATGTTTCTCGCCTTCAGGAGGCCGAAGCCTCACTGCCCGCAGCACACAGGCCTTCACTGTGCCGCTCTCCCAGAGACACCTGTGCAGATGCGGGGGGTGGGAGGCGGGTGGGGGGGGGGGCAGCTCCCTCTGCAGGTGCAGGGAGGGAGAGGGCAGCTCCCTGTGTATTAAGTACACAGGCTGAGAAGACAGGCCTGGGTTCGCCCTGCCCCTCTGCCAGCTGTGTGACCCAGAAGAAGTTACTTTACTTCTTCGAGCCTCAGTTTCCTCTTCCGTAAAGGAGAGGATGAAGATACACTTACGGCATTTTATACGGATAAAATGAGATATTACATGAAAGTTCCTTAGCCCAGGGCCTGGCGTATAGGTAGCACTCAAAATTCCTTCTCCTTTTTTCTCCTCCTCTTCCTCCTCCTCTTCTCTGTCTTCTTATTTTAATGAGTATAACTTACTCCATAAAGCGAGTGTGTAGGACTTTGAATCCCCTTCCGCCTGCCTGGTGCACAGACAGGACATTCAGTCCCCATCACTGTTGGGGCTTCGCCCAGAGCGGCCCGGTCCAGGGTCTCTCTGGCCTCACCAGCCCATGGTCGCTGCCGGCATCATCCCTTTGGGCTGTGCACCTGGTGCCTCATCTGGACACCAGAGTCCCGGCCTCTTCGTCCCAGACCCTGTGGAGCTGCAAGCGGCCACCTGGCGGGGCCCAGCCATCCCTCCAGCACCGTCCGGGTCTCTGGCGTTCCCGCGCCCGTGCGTGGCCCACATAGGCTCTCGCCCCAGCCCGAGTGCGCACCCAGCCTCTCCCACTCCCTGTGGTTTCACACGCAGGGGAGCAGCTGCCTAAGCGGCTTCGGACTCCTGTCCCACCACCAGTTCTGGGGCCAGGAGACAGGCCCTGCCATCTGCTCGCGAGGGAGAGGAAGAAGATGTACCAAGAGAAAGACACAGGTCAGTGTCTCACAAAAAGGATGCTGCCACGCTAGCGGTGAACGCCCAGGCACCTGCCTTCTCCCAGCTGGGCCCTGGGACCACCAGACCCTCAGCCCCTGGGCCGGGCTCCACCCGAGGGGAGGGTCCGACAAGGGCCGGAGCCCCGGGCTGTGCAACGGCCTCCCACGGGGCCCAGGGCGCCGGGACTGGGAAGCCCACTTCCGAGGCCGTGTGCACGGAAGTCTGTCCTCCCCACTAACCGCACGCCTGAGCAGCCGCGTCACCTCAGGGGACTAGTGATGGATGTCAACGCCGAAGGGCACACAGTTCCAGGCCAACCGCCTCCTTCCACAGAACGGAAGCCGGGTCCCGGGAGGAAGGAGAAGGGGCCGCCGGGCCTCTGCCCTGGGCCACGGGGGAGCGGGGAGGCGGGGCGAGGGGACCGGTGTGTGACAAGGCCAGGGGCATTTTGAGGACTGGAGTCCTCTCTTGAGGTCTCTAGACCTGTTTTCCTGCCAAAGGGGAACCCTGACCAGGAAAAGGAGCCGATGCTGAAGGCTGCATCCCAGCAGCCCGACAGGTGAGCCTGCCACCTGGCATTCACCTCCCTCCCAGGGCCGGGCAGCCGGGATTCTGAGGGGTCTCAGCTGCCTCATGAAAGGAGCCCCAGACGGTCCTGCAGAAAGGCAAGCACGCAGGCCACACGCCAGCCTCTACGCCCCTCTCCCCACAACCTCCACAAACAAGCTTCCAGCCTCGACTCCGATCCTGAAGAGCAAGGGCAAGAAAAGCCCCAGGGTCAGGGGTCAGGGGTCAGGGGTCAGGGGCCAGGGCCCACCCACCTGGCGGAGGCCGCTGGCACATGGCTGTGCACCTCCCACACGGAGGGCACCGAGCGGAGACCGAAGACACTTTGCCGAAGCATCACCAGAACAACAGCAAACTGCTCCCCAGAACCAGCTCAAGACCTCGGGGCGCTCAACAACCCACACGGCACCCCTGCGACATCGCTCCCTGCCCCTCCCCGCCACCTGCGAGGCCCCGCGGGCTTCCTACCTGGGACGATGGAGACCGTGTCCTTCTCCCAGGACACAACGCTGACGTACTCCTGCACTGAGGAGGGGATGAGGCACTTGAAGACGGCCATGCTTCCACGCATGGACCGCTGATCCTCCACCCGGACGGTGTAGGGTTCCCTGAACACTGCGGAGAGAGGGGCCGGGAAGGCCTGTGTCGCGGCTCCACTGGACACGGGGCCCAGAGAGGCTCCCAACTCCCTCCACACCCAGCCTCAGCCTCCACCACCTTTTCCCACCCTCCCACTTACCCGGCCCAGGACTCCCTGCCAGGATTTTTAAAAGATATATTTTAATTGATTTCAGAGAGGAAGGGAGAGGCCGAGAGAGGGAGAAACATCAATGAGAGAGAATCATGGATCAGCTGCCTCCTGCATGCCCCCCACTGGGGATGGAGACTACAACCCGGGCATGTGCCCTGATAGGGAATTAAGTTCATAGGTCGATGCTCAACCACTGAGCTGCACAGCCAAGCCCTGCTGGGATCTTACTCCTGCCTGTGTGGCTCCTTCTTTAGCAAGCCCGCCCCCCCCCCGCTCCCCCGCCCCCCAGGGCAGCCCACTCTGCCTCTGAAATAGGAGCCTTCCTTCACGAGACCACAATCCCACACCGGCCGCCCCACAGTCAGGAGCGCTAACAAACTGCACTAAATGGGAAGGACGCTGCGGGCTCCCTCCCGGCCGCATTTAGCAGGGGGTGATATGAGGGAATATTCTAGAATTCACCTAAGGAAGCCAAACTGCAGTTCCCACATGTTCCTCGGCCCAGGGAGGCAAGAGTTTGGGGCACGGGGGCCATTAATTGCCAGATAAAAATGGACACGTGACCTCACAACAGATTTTTTGTTGGGTCTGGGCACAGCCACGCACTGTGGAAAGCAGCTTGGGGAAATGGAGGACGTGAGCAGAACTGGGGGGCTTGCTGCCTTCCTGGGCAGAATGGTTGTCGCTCTCTTTGTCTCTAGAAACGCAGCGTGCGGAGACATGGGCGTCCCCACGCTCCTCCAAAGCACAGCCTTCTTCTCTCCCCACCTCCTAACACTGCGGACTCCTGGGCCCGCCTCGCTCGGCCTCAGACCCTTCCTCTCAGTGTGCCCTGGGCAGGCTGGTTCTGGGGCTGTAACCTGTAGCCACTCCATGTGTCAGGCCCATGGTGGACGGGCCCAGCCTTAGCAGGGCTCGAGGGGCCTGCCCTCTCCTCTCCTTGTCCTCCTCCACTTGGCCTCTCCGGGGGCTCCCTCCATCCTTCGACCCCTTCTCGGCCGAGGGGTATCCGGAGCCCCACTGCCTCCGGCCTTGTCCTCAGCAGGCACCTGGGTGGTGCCCTCCTGCCGTGGCTCTCAGGGGGACATCCCCCCCCCCCCGAGCCCCTGCCCCCATGTTCATCAAGAGCCTCTTAATTGGCTGTTTCCCGTTTGGCCCGCCCCCCCCCCCCCCAACCACCTTTAGGGCCCTCTTCCTTTCCAACCCCGGGTGGGGGGGAGATAGGACAGCTGAGTGGAAGGGAGAGGGGTGGAGGGAGGCACTGCTGCTGGCTCTGTGGGGCCGTGGGCCCCTCTTCCTGGGTGTGGCCACAGCACTGCAGGTGCGGGGGTGCACAGGGGGGAGACTGAGGAAAGCTGACCCTGGAGGGAAGCAGAGGGGAGGAGGAGAAGGGTGGGGTTGGGGCGCACCCCCAGGATGGGCCGAGGGACCAGCAGAGGCCAGTGGTTAGGGTGTCAGACAGGCAGGCGGGTGCTGTCTCCTACTCTGAGCAGCTGTGTGCCCTGGGCGAGAACTGTTAACCTTTTGCAGCCTCATCTGTAAAAGGAAATAATAATGAAGTAATGGCAGTAATAATAGTGCAGCGTGTAGAAGGCCTGGCACCCGAGGCGGGGCCGCAGGGCTGGGCCTCATTACGGCGCCATCTCTGTGGGACTGGCCGCGCCCTGGGCAGGTGACGGAACCTCTCTCAGTCCCTCCTTGGTTAGAAACACTCTACAGGGTCATTGTGAGAATTGCACCCAAACCCAACGAAGTCTGTGCCAGGTAATGTGACCTCACTTCCTCTTGGCCCGTGGAGGCCGGCGCGGGGCTGCAACCCCGCCCAGTGCTCCCTCCCGGCCGGCCCCCTGCGTTTCAGGGGACAAAGGAAGGCTCCTGAAAGGCAACCCCACGGGAGCCCATAGGCTAGGCTCTGAGCGTGGCCCTGGGTTCTGAGGTCACTCCCTCCCCCACCCAATGAAATGGGAAGGTCAGCTGTTTAACAAAGAACTCCCCCCTCCTCGCTCCCCACACGCCTGGGCCCAGCTACTCGGCACCTGTACTTGTAACAGGCGCTCCTGAGCCCGGACCCGGAGTCAGAGACCTCGCTCCAGAACTCTCCCCTGTGCCCCAGGGATGGTGCTCAAGGCCGGACCCCTGCAGGGGCCACCAGGCCGCCTGTCCTCTCCCACCACAAGCTCTTCCCAGAAAACCACTCCCCAAGTTCCCTGCTTCCTTACAGTGGAGGCCCCCTCACAGCTGAGGCTGGCACCCGGCGGACAGGGACATCCTCTCCAAGAGGAGCTCAGCCAAGCCAGCCTGGGCCCACCTCACAGCTGAAGGTGACACCCAGCGGACAGGGACGTCCTCGCCAAGTAGCTGACCTGGGCCATGCCGGGCCTGCAGGCCTGACTCCAAGAAATGAGACTTTCTGTTTTCTCTAGAGAAGCCACCTGAGAAAGGCTCACTTCCTTGACCGATTACTACTTCCAAAGGCCAAACTCCTTCACTGCTAACAGTTTTCCACCATGAATTTCACCTGAATGGCTGTTCTCGTGAGAAACACTGTCCTCGCACAGCCATCACCAGGGCGGATGAAGGGCAGGCAGCGTGGGGAGCAGGAGACCACAGCGATGAGATGCATGGCTCCCTCACAGCAGCAGGGGTGAATCCCACAAACAGAACGGTGAGCAAACGGCTAGAGAGAACACGGACTGTGGGACTCCACTTATTTAAAGTATAGACATTGGCAATATCATCAGGCAGGAGTCAGGACAGGGGCTTCTCCTGGGCCTGGTGATGGGAAACGCATAAGGGGGCTTCCGTGTGACTAACTGCATATCCTGAGCTGGATATCGGTTAGACTTTGGGAAATGCATCAAGCTGCATGCGTATAATAAATGCACTTCTCTTTATATATCTAATCTAATGAAACATGCAAATTGACCATACCTTTGCTACGCCCCAAGCCACGCCCACCGGCCAATCAGAGCAACTATATGCAAATTAACCCAAGCAAGATGGCGGCCTGCAGCCACGGAGCTGGAGCAAGCAGGAGGCTTGGTTGCCCCCACGATGGAGGAAGCCAAGCTTCCCATCTGCCCTGGCCGGCTGTGGCCTCTGCTAAAGGCAACAAAGTTTCAATTATAGAAGCTAAATAAATCCCAGATACCTGCTTCCAGCCAGCCTCCACTGGGAGCTTGGGTGGCTGGGGGCTGTGGCCAGCCTGCAAACAGCCATCAGCCACTCACCTAGACTGGCCAGGCACCCCAGCAGGCCCTCCCTCCCTGAAGGGGGTGTGGCCAGTCTGAAAACGGCCCTCAGCCCCTCACCCAGGCTGGCCAGGCACCCCAGCGGGACCCCCACCCTGATCCGGGACACCCTTCAGGGCAAACCAGCCGGCCCCCACCCATGCACCAAGCCTCTATCCTATATAATAAAAGGGTAATGTGCAAATTGACCCTAACAGCAGAACAACTGGGAATGACTGGTCACTATGACACACACTGACCACCAGGGGACAGACACTCAATGCAGGAGCTGCACCCTGGTGGTCAGTGCGCTCCCACAGTGGGAGCTCTGCTCAGCCACAAGCCAGGCTGACGGCTGCCAGCACAGCGGTGGTGGTGGGAGCCTCTCCCGCCTCCTCAGCAGCGCTAAGGATGCCCGACTGCAGCTTAGGACTGCTCCCCGCTGGCAAGTGGACATCCCCTGAGGGCCCCCGGGCTGCCAGAGGGATGTCCGACTGCCAGCTTAGGCCCAATCCCCTGGGTAGTGGGCCTATGCTAGTGGGTGGATATCCCCCAAGGGGTCCCAGACTGCAAGAGGGCACAGGCTGGGCTGAGGGACCCCCCGAGTGCACAAATTTTTGTGCACCGGGCCTCTAGTCTATAATAATAAAAGTGTAATATGCTAATTAGACCGGATGTCCTTCCGGACGACCTTCCGGATGAAGCTGCAGTGACAGGGGCTGAGGCAGAGGTGGTTAGGGGCGGTCAGGCAGGCAGGCAGGCAGAGTGGTTAGGGGCGATCAGGCAGGCAGGCAGAGTGGTTAGGGGCGATCAGGCAGGTGAGCGGTTAGGAGCCAGCGGTCCCGGATTGCGAGAGGGATGTCGGACTGCCATTTTAGGCCCAATCCCACCTAAACCAGCAGTTGGACATCCCCCAAGGGGTCCCAGATTGCGAGCAGGTGCAGGTCGGGCTGAGGGGATGCGCTGCCCCCCCCCCACCCCGTGCATGAATTTTGTGCACCAGGCCTCTAGTTGTTTCAATAAAAGGTTTTATTTTTAATTTAAGAAGGAAGGAATGAAGCTCATTGGATGTTTTCCATGAGTCAAGCACCAACAGGAGCACTTCATGTGAATGTGTGCGATCTCACAATGACCACAGGCGGTGAGAAGCAGGGTAGAGACTGGCATCCCCTTTGTAGGTGAGAAAACTGAGACTCAGAAAGGGATGTTCTCACCCAGCTGGTGTGGCTCAGTGGTTGAGCGTCAACCTATGAACCAGGAGGTCACGGTTTGATTCCTGGGCACATGCCCGGGTTGTGGTTTGATCCCCAGTGTAGGGTGTGCAGGAGGCAGTCGACCCATGATTCTCTCTCATCATTGATGTTTTTGTCTTTCTCTCCCTCTCCCTTCCCCTCTGAAATCAATACAAAATATTTTAAAAAATAGCAAGGGGTGTTCTCAGCCTAAGGACCTACAGTGAGTGGCAAAGAGCTAAGATTCCAAAGAACAAAACTTTCCTTGAGGGACTGACTTTTGCCAAGTCCCCCTCCCCCACAATGTTACACACGTGTCAGAATGATGGGTGCTGCCCGCTCCCCAGCTCAGCCCTCCGGACTGCTCCCTGCAGCGGGCAGGGGCCGGCCTCACCTGCTTTGACGCGGATGTTGGGGCTGCGGATCTTGCCGGCGGCGTTCTCCGCGGTACAGAAGTAGTCATTGTCGTGGATGAAGCTGTTGAAGGCGGAGGGGGAGAAGGGGTAGAGCTGCAGCGTCCCGTTGGCGTGCACGTGCCGGATGTGGGGCACGTCATAGATGTCGTCCCCCGTGGCCAGGTACCATCGAAGGGCTGCGCTGGGGGAGCCCGCAGCCGGGCAGGGCACCACGACCCCCACGGAGCTGGAGAAGGTCACCTGCTGCAAGGAGTCATTCACAAAGTAGAGGCTGGTGCCAGCATCTTCCGGGCGGGCTGCAGGGGGCAAGGGAGGGGCTCCGTTAGCGGACTTGGTAAGACCCTCGCGGGCCAGAGGCAGCGAGCCCACACTCAGGACCGCCAAGCACCTCACTCCACAAGCGCTTACTGAGCGCCAACTGTTTACCGGCACTGGCAGCGGTGAGCCAGAGGCAGACCACCCTGCAGAGACTCCGGCCTCGCACAGGGACAGTTAAAACATTGCGTGGCGAGAGGAGGCCACCACTCTGCTATGCTGAAGGGTCGGAAGCCATTGCTCAGATAGTAAATATCTCTTGAGCAGCTACTATACGCAGGCAGGTTCACACCCATCCCCACCATTCACCTGTACCGTCCTGTGGGGAGGAGGTACCACTGCTCCTCATCATTGTCTGTTACAGGCTGAGATGAGATGGGGGACTTGCCTGAGACGACAAAGCCAATAAGCCCCAGATCAGACATGTGACTCCATTGCTCCCAAAGAGGTCTCTGTGCACTTTGTAACCACCCCCGCTGAGCGGGCAAAGGTGCAAGCCAGTGTTCTGCAAGGCGTGGCTGAAGGGAGTGCGGGTGCTCACCTGGAAGACAGAGACCCCAGGAGACCTGAGAGCGGCCTTGACCTCTGGAGGCCAGTTTGGAAAATGCCAGCCCACAGGCTGAAGGAAGGATTGTGGGTGATGCCTTTGAGTGCGGGAGCAAGAGACCGCCCACTTCTCAACCTGCCCTGCCATGGCCGACTGCGGAATGCCCTTCCCTGTCTGATCAGCGTTTCCTCAGATCGTAAACGTGGGGAGGATGGACCAGGCTGCGGACTCCATCACCCCTGGCCGGCGGCCACCGTCCCCCACCCCCGCTCACAGGGAGAGCATGCTCCCATGGCAGCGGCTGCTGTGGCAGGGCCACCGACAGGAGGGCAGCGTCTCAGCGCGCATTTTAGCTTGGGACCTCGGCTTTCCTGCCCCAAACTGGGGGAGCCCTGAGTGAGGGAATCTGGGCCCTGCCTCCCCACGAAGAGGCCTGTCCCTTTAAGAAGGACCACCTCAGCCCTAACCGGTTTGGCTCAGTGGATAGAGCGTCAGCCTGCAGACTGAAAGAAGGACCACCTCTGACCAGGAGGGGCAGACCCTGAGGAGGAGAGAGCCTGGTCCCAGGTCTCCGGGGAAGCCGCGCCCTCTCCACCCTGAAGATCAAGGACCACATGAACCACTCGAACCCAAACCCGCTCGCTGCTGCTCGGAGTGCAGGGGCCAACTTGACCTCAACTGCCACAACTCGGCGGGCAGGGGAAGGCCCGCATCTGGACTGCGTTAATATTCTTGGCTTGACTCCCAGCTGGGTCTCCAGGGAGAATGTACCAGGCAGCGCGTTGAGGGAGGCCATTGAGCCTCATTGGTCAGAGCGATTCACAGCATCTCATAAGGAGCCACGTGGAGCCACGGGCAGCAGCGCTAGACACATCCGTCCTCGGCTCCAGCTAGGGCGTCGGGGAGACCTCTTATAGCAAGTGCATCGCTGAGCGCCCAGAGGCTCCGGGAGTGGCAGCATCCCTCCCCCTCTTCCCCCTCCCCTCCCCCTCCTCCTCTTTCCCCTCCTCCTCCTCCTCCTTCTCCTCCCCCTCCTCCTCCTCCTCCTCCTCCTCCTCCTCCTCCTCCTCCTCCTCCTCCCTCTCCTCCCGGGATATTCCCTCTGCTGGTGGTTGAGCAGGTCTGCTCTGGGAAGAGGAGGGTGGCCACCAGGAGACCCCAAGAAGCTCAGATGTGCCCACTCGCAGTGGCTGGAGCATTCTCCAAGGTCACACAATCACACCATTTCACAGGTGGGCAAACTGCGGGGTAGGAAAGTTTCTCTCAGGGTCCACCTTCGCCAGCTTCCCTTCCTCGAGCCTGCTCACCTCCTGAGAGACCCGCTGCTCACCTCCTGGAAGATGCTGGCAATGGTGAGCCAGAGGCAGACCACCCTGCAGAGACTCCAGCCTCGCACATGGGTGTGAACCTGCCTGCGTATAGTAGCTGCTCAAGAAATATTTATTACCTAAGCAATGGCTTCCGACCCTTCAGCATAGCAGAGTGGTGGCCTCCTCTCGCCACGCAATGTTTTAACTGTCCCAGTCAACAAACCACTGCCGAGCACCTTCAGCACGCCGGGCACCGCTGTACGCACGTTACTTACAGGACCGCTCTCAGTCCTCCCCACTGCCTTACCAGTCGGCCTCATAATCATCCCGCTTAAAGCTGAGGGAGCTAGGGTGCCGAGAGGTCAAAGCCACTCACCCAAGACCACACAACCGGTGAGTGAGGGCCCAGAGAGGTGGACGCAGGCCATCTGGGCCCAGAGTCCGATTTCCAACCATGAGATCGCTGTAGCCACCGCAGTAATACACAGGGGACTGCCTCCTCCTCCAGCTTCCATATTCAACCATCGGGAACAGAATTCACAACTACACACACACACACACACACACACACACACACACACACACACCCTTCCTGGGCGGGGGGGGGGGGGGGCTGTAGGACCGGCACTTCACAGTGCCTCACTCTGGGGTCCTGGCTGCTTCCTGAGACAACAGACAACCTAGTGATCAGTCCCCTCACCACGGCCGCTTCGTGGATGCTGGGAGCGGAACCCATCGCAGCCCAGAAAGACTGCCCTGTGCCTGACAAGTGGGCTTGGGAGGCTCAGAGAGATTCCTAAAGAGGAGAATTCAGGCGCTGACTCAGGGCGGGTGAGAACATACGGAAGGAGGAGGATGCTGTCCCCCAGTCACAGCTTCACGTCTGCAGGACTTCCTAGGCCAGTGATGGCGAACCTATGACATGCGTGTCAGAGGTGACACGCGAACTCATTTTTTTGGTTGATTTTTCTTTGTTAAATGGCATTTAAATATATAAAATAAATATCAAAAATATAAGTCTTTGTTTTACTATGGTTGCAAATATCAAAAAAATTCTATATGTGACACGGCACCAGAGTTAAGTTAGGGTTTTTCAAAATGCTGACAGGCCAAGCTCAAAAGGTTCGCCATCACTGTCCTAGGCGATGCTACTATTCTTTTTTTTTTTTTTTAAGTATTTTATTTTTTTTTAATCTTTTTGTTGTTGTTGCTAATCCTCACCCGAGGATATTTTTCCCATTGATTTTTTTTTAAGAGAGAGTGGGAGGGAGAGGGAGAGAAACATTGATGTGAGAGAGACACATCAATTGGTTGCCTCTCACACAAGCCCTGACCAGGGCCAGGGATGCCTGCAACCAAGTACGTGCCCTTGACCAGAACTGAACCCAGAACCCTTCAGTCTGCAGGCCGACACTCTATCCACTGAGCCAAACTGGCCAGGGCGCGATGCTACTATTCTATTTCTATTTTACTTAGAATGGTAAGGAGATGAAGACTCAGAGTTAACTAACTTACCCAAAGTAACGCAGAGGGTACCAGTAAGCACTGGACCCGGGCCACAAACCAACGGTGCCACCCTTGCTGAGTGGGCACGGAGCTGACGACAAGTCAAACCACAAAATATGGGCGGCATTCTCCTCCCCAACGTGTCTTCCATCCCCTGAGCCCCCACACCCCAACACACATTCCCAGCCGCCTTCTCTCCCACAGGACACCTGTCCCAGCCTCCTTGCCTGTGAGGCAGCCCCTTCCCAGGCTCCCCACCCTCCCGCAGGAGCGCCAGCCACAACGCACGCCCCTGCCCGCAAGCGGGCCCCGGGGCCTGCCAGAGCCAGGGACAGGGTCTCAGCAGCCACAAGAGAAGATCTACTTGATGGATTGACCGGGACTGTCCAGCCACCTGTCGGGCGGATGAAAGACAGATTTACAGCAAAGGAGAGCGGCCTCCTGGTTCTCCCGCCCGGGTGTGAGCTGCTGTCTTCCGAGCCTGGGCTGGGGAGGGTCAGACCAACCATTCATTGCTGCCTGCGGCTGACAGCGCGTGGCCGTCAGGAAACATCACCTCGGGCGTAAAACAAGAGCGTTTTGCACCTACATCGGCCTCATATTTTACCATCACAGGCACCTGTCAGCCCCAGACGCAGAAGCCCTTCCACAAACATGACTTTAGTCTCCTCCACCTGCTCAGAGAAAGAAGTGAGCAGATGCACAAAGAGGAAACTGAGGCACTGACCACCTCAAATCTCTGCCACGTGCCCAGGTGAAGGCTGGCCCAGGGCACAGTGAGTGGCTGCAGCGGCAGTGGGTGCGCGCAGTCCCCTCGCCACGACAGGGGAGTAGCAGGGCCCGAGGGCCTCCCTGAGGCTGGCGTGGCCTTCACGCGGGGCTTTCCCTCCTTCTCAGTCTCCTGGTGGAGTCTTCTGGGCCTCAGCAGCTCAGAGAAGAGCCAGGAGTGTGTGCAGAGCCGGAGCAGGAGCCGGAGCCAGAGCCAGAGCCGGGGGTCTGACAGAGCTACTTCCCTCCTGCTCCCTGACCAGCTGTGTGGCCTCAGGCAGCCCACTAGCCGCTCTGAGCCCTGGTGTCGAAAGAGGGAGGACTGCAGGATTGCATCACCTACCTGCCCTCCACCCCACCTCCACCCCCACCCCAGGACCACCCAACGGCAACATGGAATGTGACTGTGCTTGGTGCCACCTGATGAGGTGTGAGTCTGAGGGATGGGCTTGCTGTTCTGGTCCCAGCAACCCCCACCCCAGGGGCCAGAGGGCCTAAGGTGAGGGCAAAGGATGCCGGGGCCAGCGCCCCTCTGCACCTGTGGGACTCCAGTCCTTTCCCACCCCTTCACCTCCTCCTCCCCCGCAAACAGGGCTCTCCTTCCCCGTCCTTGCTGACCAGGGACCAGGAAAGACTTGGTTCTCAGGGGCTCAGGAGCAGCCATGGTCAGCAGGCCCGGGTGTGGGGAAGCACCAGGAGGGGAGTGGCCAGAAGGGTCCCCCAGCGCCAGGGCAGTGAGCAGAGGGCTGAGCACTGATTCCCCACGAGCCCCGGGAGGGAGGTCCATTACTCAGCATCTGAGAGGAAGCTCTGGGAACGAGGAGGCTCTGGGAACAGGGCTCGAGCCTAG